ACCATCTGATGAGGAAAAATAAGCATTCTTTGTAAGTGGGCAAACCTATCTATCTATCTATCTATCTATCTATCTATCTATCTATCTATCTATCTATCTATCTATCTATCTATCTATCTTTCTTCAGAAGCCTGCATTCTCCTGTCCTGTCTCTGGTTTTGGGACCTCCTCCGGCTGTTTGGAGGAGCTAAACCAAAGGTGTCAAACTCTGTCCTGCAGGTTTTAGAAGTTTCCCTGTTTCAGCACACCTGATTCACGTCAAAGAGCCATTAGCTAAGCTCAGTAATGTCCAGACGAGATCCAATTTAACCACAATCAAGTGTGCAGACGCAGGAAAATGTCTAAAACCTGCAGGACTGCGGCCCCTCGAGGACTGGATTTCGACACCCCTGAGCTAACTCTGTGTTTTCTGCAGATGCAGCTGTCCCCGGTGCGACAGGCCGAGCTGCACAGCGACCTGAAGATCCAGGAGAAGGACGAGCTGCAGTGGAAGAAAATGAAGGTGGAGGGGCTGGACGACAACGGCGAGAAGGAGGCCCAGCTCCGGAGGAACTTCAACGGTGAGAAAGGGTCCTCTGAGGACCTCCATGAAACCTGAGGTTGTTCTTCTTACAGATGAGAGAACGAGGTCACCTGTAAGGATGTCCCGATCCAGCTTTTTTCACCTCCGATCTGATACTGATCTGAGCATGTGTTAAAGTTTAAAGTTATTTATCTACATACTTAGTTGTCAGACTCATGTTGAACAGGGATTTACTCTGATAACAACTCAATGGTTAGGACACAGACCTGTGGCTTAGCAGATGCTAATGCTAATGTGGGATCAGACTTAAAAAAAAAAACTGGATCTGGAGTCTGGATCTGCATTTTCTCCTGTCGGGCGATACGCAGTTTTTTGCAAATATGGGCATCCCGATCCGATCCAGATATCAGTTCGGGACCAGCCTAGTCACCCGTTTCCATTTTTGATGATTTGAGTCTGTATCAAAAATGCAAACTTTTTCTCACTGAGCTGTGCGAGCTGCTCCAGATTAATGTTTAAGGAAGGCCAGGTGATGGGAGGAGTAATAAGTCACCAGCAGGGCCTCTCCAGGTTGATGAGGCTGTAATTTAGTTAAACTGTACCCAGACTGCCGCTGACTCCTTTGAAATATATTTGGTTGAGCAGTTCTTTGCTCAAGATGAGTTAAGATGTTTCCACGAATAAGAAAATGGTCCCACTTTCAGCCCCTGAGACGTTTTCTCCTCTTTATTTTGATCTGAGCTGCCGGTTTATGAGGTCTGTGCCTCATTTGACGCTTCCTTTGGTTCAGCTTTCATCTGTGAATCCCCAAAACAAAGTAGAACAACAAAAATAAAAACAGACCTGGAGACAAACATTAATAAAAACCTAACTGAGTCTCACAGTTACAGCAGCTTCTGTATTAATTCGGCGTCTCCCTGATTGATGAGCCTCTGGCTGCAGTCTTTAGAAGCCTCAGCTGGATATCCAACTCCTCCCACATCCAAGTCGGCCATTTTGATTAGGTCATGTGACTAGCAGGTGTCACAGGTGGAAACGAAACTTTACTGTCTATAAGAAATCAGAAGACAAACGATGTCCTAATCCTAACCCTGACTCTGACCCTGAACCTCTAGCCTTCATAATTGTGAGAAATAAATATCTTTTGGTTAAACTAGTTTGGACTTATTGTACAAACCTATTTAACATCCACTATTTTAACATAATATTATGTATAGAGTTTAATTCAGTGTTTGCAAGAAATCATTTCACTATTTTTAAATTAATGTCTATATTGCCATGAAGCAATTAGGATTTTCTTGCCTGGGATCTTCCTATTGGTGACCTAATCAAAATGGCCGACTTGGATGTGGGGGAGTTGGATATCCATCCTTGTTCCTGCAGTCTGCCCTGGTTGGTGAAGCACTTTTATCCGAGCTAAAAACCGAGTCTTAGCCGGGTTATTTGTGGGCCAGCACACTCATTCGCTCTTTTTGTGGCTGCCTCTTATAAATTTTTAAGAAGTATCTCAAGTTAACTTTTCCCCACTGAGTCCCTTCGTCCTCCCCGGGTCATCCTAAAGTCAAAAGCACTTCTTTTCTCTCTCTCCGTTGTTCTCTTTTCACTTGATTGCTTCCTGAATGCTTAATTTATGGCACGGGAGACGAAATCTGGGCTCTTTTTCTGTCTGCAAAGGGAAAGAATTCATCCCAGATCCTGAACCAGACGTCTTAGTGTTTGGAGGAAGATAAGGTTGTTATGGAAAAGTTCTTTAAATGAGTGAGGCAAAGTTTCTAAATAATTAGAGAAGATCGATCTTGTCCAATAAAGGTGTTTTATTCGAAGGCAACAGCGTTTGAAGACGCAGATCACAGAGTAAACTCAGGTTAAAGGAACGTCCTCTTATATAATTAGTGTGGATAAAGAATGGAAAAAGGCCACAGTGTTTCTTATCAGCAACAAACTAAGAGGTTCTGATTTACTCCTCAGTCCTCAAGGAAGTCCCATGGAGAATCTCCAAAAGGAAAAAAGCTATGCTTATTCTCAGGAGACAGGAAAGGCCCTAATGTGGACGGACCTAAAGGAGAATCTTCTCAGGAGATGAGTGAGGACGGCACAAAGGACGAGTCATACAATTTAACGTATAAACAGGAATGGGAGATTCATCCTAGATGGGATTAAAGAAACTGTCACATTTGCTACTGGTGCTAAAACCACAGACGACTCTCCCTAAAGGAATTAACAACCAGGTATCCTTAAAGAACCAAAAGAGAAACATCTCCAGGACAGTGGGGCTTTACTGGAGCAGAATAACCAGAGCCCCCCCCCAAGAGTCGAGTCCAGCTTCCAGGGCTGGAAAAAGATGTTTTCAGTCCCCTTTAAACGTCCGAAGGGCGGCGTTCTGTCCAGGAGAGCTTCATTCTCCTTCTAATCCTCTTCAAAACCAGAATCAGAAAAACTTTAATAATCCCAGAGGGAAATTATTTTTGTTACCAACTCCAGATATACAACAGACACTCCTCTCTGTAAATTCTTACTAATTTATTGGCATTTATTTATTCTTCTCGCACTATCATTATCACTTATTTTAGATCTGTATATATGCATATAGTTACATATGTATATATTTATTTGTATTTTGTGTGGAATGTTGTGTGTGTGTGTGTGTGTGTGTGTGTATATATATATATATACACACAGTCTTGTTTCTGCCACATTAGAGTGATTATTATTTGATACTTTGCTCATAGTTTTGTCTACCTTGTTTTGCACTTTTATTCCACTCCTTGCGAGTGCGTTTTGAGTTAATAAAACCTTTTGTTAACTCAAATCTCTGCATCTGAGTCAGAATCAGAAATACTTTAATAAATACTTTAGTCCTGCCCGGAGTCACCACCCTGACGGGTCTGAATAATGGATCCCTGTGTCAGAGTGGCTGTATATTATATATTATATATATATATATATATTCTCTTGCTGGTTGTCCGCAGTTCTTCTGGCCAAATTCGGGATGGACGGGAAGAGAGACACACGCTGGCCGGAGAACAACTCCCTAAAGGACCACGAGGTCAAAGAGGGAGACGAGTTCGACGACCCCAGGCTGGACAAACTCTGGAACAAGGTCTGTGCTCAGATTTGTAAAATCCCCTTTGTGTGGAACCAGGTAGGGTTGTCAAAAGTATCGATACTCCAAAAAGTATCGATACTAAAATGTTGTATTCGGATACGATACTCATTTTCAAAAGTATGGATACTAAAATGTTGTATTCAGATACGATACTAATTTTCAAAAGTATAGATACTAAAATGTTGTATTCGGATACCATACTCATTTTCAAAAGTATCGATACTAAAATGTTGTATCCGGATACGATACTCATTTTCAAAAGTATCGATACCACGGCCCCCCTTCTCTCTGATTTATTTATGCATTTATTTACGTTGTTTATGATCATTAACAAGAGCCTTGAACTGTTAGCTGCGGCTAATGGTTAATAATAACATGCCACCATTAGTCAAGTACATATCCGACTCCGCCCACCTCCAAGTCGGCCATTTTGGTTACATCGCCAATAGGAAGAAAAAAGTAAATCCTAATTGCTTCATGGCAATATAGACATTCATTTAAAAATAGTGAAATTAATCTTTAAAACACTTAATTAAACTCTATCCATAATATTATTTTAAAATAGTGGCTGTTAAATAGGTTTGTACAATAAGTCCAAACAAGTTTAACCAAAAAATATTTATTTTTCACAATTATGAAGGCTGTAGGGTTAGGGTTAGGGTCAGGATCAGGGTTAGGGTTAAGTTTAGGGTTAGGGTTAGGGTTATGGTCATTAATGCAGGCCACCAGTCACGATATCATCAGTAACAGGTCAGTTTGAAATGAAAGACACTAAACCGTCAAAATTCAGTTAAATTTTGGGGTCTTTGTTTTTATCCTTGTGGTATCGAAAATGGTATCGAGTATCGTGTATTTTCCTGAGTAACGGTATCGAGTTGAAAATTTTAGTATCGTGACAACCCTAGAACCAGGAGCTGAACCCTTAAACAGCCTAAAATAAACGATTAAACACACTCAAAGTCCTAGCCTCGGGATTCTGATAGCGTCCGAACTCTGGACACATCGAAGACATGTGCTAACGGTAAAAAAACAAAAAACAAACAGGTTTTCATAAGTTTGAACAATAAATATTCATCTCCAAATCCATTTGCTGCATGAGGAGGAAACTTAGAGACAGGAAGTGGTTTTAGGGGATGAGGGGAAAGCAGAATCCGGCTGTTTGGGACTTTAGATTCACACGATTTGACCACAATCGGGAATTTTTGCTTTTACATTTAGCCCAGCAAACTTTCATTTATGTTTGTTTACATCAGAAATCTTCAACTTGCCACGTATCTATAGAAAAAAAACAATTACAGGAGATAAGTTTTCAAAAGATTTGACCCAAATCGGGAACTTTTACTCTAAATTTAGCCAATCAAACTTTCATTTATGTTTGTTTACATGAGAAATCTTCAACTTGCCATTTATCTATAGAAAAAAAACAATTACAGGAGATCAGATTCACACGATTTGACCACAATCAAAAATCTTCAACGTGCCATTTATCTGGAGTCAAAAAAGCGGAGAGGAGATAATAAATAGATATTCCTAAAAGGGAAATGTGGAGCATTAAGAATAATCTATAAACTAAAATGGGAAAAAGCCTCTGAACGGTGAAGAGTTGCTTTGGATTTGGATCCACGAGACCAAGCCGGTGACATTTTAGTTTATA